GTGATTGTTGGGGACAGAGGAGAAATCCTCGACGGCGGAATCTTGAGATTCAGCTGGAGTGGCAGGCCCGCAAACATTCAAAGTGAGCGCAACTTTGTCTTGGCATGGAGGCCTATACGCTGGAGCCAGCCAAACCGTCAGATGTGCTAGTTGCCCTAGACAGACGGGCAACGAAAAAGGGATGGTGTCGACGGCGCAGGAATCCGCCGTAGTTGGCTGATGCGATGGATAAAGCAACAGTGTCCTTCGACCCTCTGCGATCGATCATCTCTGCTCTCGCTCTCAGTGTGGTATGGGACCCAAATGGGACTCTGACCATGCTACGAATAGCAGTCTCTGGAAGGGCTATTTCGGCATGAGACTCCTCCAAGAGCCAGGATTTGGAGCGGGGCTCGTTATGGAAGCCTCCCCTTTGATTATCAACTTCGACGAAGTTGATAAAGACGGTTGACTGTCATACGCTTTTCGGGGGGGCAATGAAGGCCCCAAGTTCTGAATTGCATTCTTTGTATCTCTCTTCTAATCTACGATCAGGCGCCTCACCTTCGTTCTTCCCACAAGAACCGGAACTGCGTGTCTGCTGATTCACGAGGCGAACGGAGCCGCCTACACCCTGTGGATGTCCCGTTATCTCCTGAATCCTCGACCTTCGCGCTAGCTAGCGTCCTGGCGTGTATGGCCCTCAAAATCCAAATCGGCACTCTGCCGCAGGCCAACCACCCTTCGTTAGATCTATCCTTTAGCCTCGATGATGTGAGTACGTCTGTCGCCATGTTGACCAATTACGCTGACCGCCGGTATCGCCTAGTTCCATTCATACCTCCTCTTGTGGGTTGAATCTAACCCTAGCCACCATGATGCGATACTATCCGTGCTACAAAGTGTGCTCACCCAAGGTCGTCCTCCCATTGACGCTCAAGAGCAACCGCGAAATTGCGACGCAGATGAGCATTCCAGCGCTAAAGCTCACGGCCAATTCGCTCATGGACATCCCATTCCCCCAACGCGCGTGCCAAGTCTGCAACCAAAAGATTCAGATGTGGTGGAGTCGATAACAGTCGATGGCTATTGTGACCACGATGAAGTGGAAGAATGTAAGACGGTGCTGAAAGGGGCCCAGCGACTGCCGGATCAAAATCAAGTCCCTGTGATTCTGAACTGGGGACCGCCGACGGATGTCAAGGCAAAAAGCTCGGATTTCAAACGGCCAAGGGAAAAGACATTGCCAAAAACGGTGAGTCCGCGTCTCAAAGAACCCAAGTCAAACAGAGTGGCGGGCCACAACGGCCTTCTGACTACAGATATGCTGCAAACAATCGACCGTATAGGGGGGACCCAGGTGCTGGAAGGGTTGAAAGACACCATCGCCGAGTTGGCTGCTCGGGCGCAGCAGGATAAACAAATTTTCAACGAACAATGCAGTCAAAGCCTTCCGAAACATTTGACAGATCAACCCGAGTCGATGCGGAAATTATGGCTCCTGAAAGAAGAACTTGTCCTCACCGAGGCGAATGAGCAGATATATCGAATTCGGAAAAGATTAACTCTGGCGGAGTTCTCTCATGCATACGACGCGTGTGCCTTGCGATATATGGATGTGAAGAGCAATCCTCAGTGCCCGCGCTCGAGACCGGGACAACGGACATCTAAGACGTCAACTGGTCGCGAAGCACGTAATTCGCGGCATAAACGAGCGGCCATGCATCATTTCGTGAATATTCTATTCCCCGGCGCGTTACCGAGCAGCAAGACGAAGAGGGCGGCGCGGAAAGGAGGTATGGTGACGAGATACGCGGCCGCGAGGAAGATTCAGAACTGGAGAGCGACAGGACAGCCGTGGGCCAACATCATCACGCGTTTTGGTAAAGGTATGCTTCTGCTGATACCCGAAGAACTGTCGGACGCATGGTAAGTTCTCCCACACGACGATGACCTTTTCAAATCCGGCGTCTTATGCTAAAGCAAAATGGAACAGTTTGCGAACCATGTCAAAAGCCACCCTATCAGCTTTTGTGGATCGTGTAGAGTTACGAGTTGCAGGCTTGAAAAATTGGTTGCAGACATTGACGTCCTTGGTCGACTCTATCCGCATCAACTATGCTCTACCTCACAGTTGGGTTTCGGAAGAAAACCCCTCGAGGCTCATCAAATGCGAAAGGACCGATGCACAACTCTGGAAGGCCGATCCAGATCTACCGTCCGCTTTTTGCGATAGAGACACAGCAACTTGGAGTCCTTTGAAGCAATCAGACGATGTTGGCCAGCCGTATGCCGAATCTGATTTTGTTGTGGACTCACCCATGGATGCGATGGTGCTGGGCGTATACACAGGCGAATCATCTTCGGAATTCGCTCTGGTCCCTCACGAAACTGTTTGGGAGGCCCCTTACACCACCTTCCTGTCACATCTTGCTGAAGAGACAGTTCCCTCGCCCGACTTCTGTTCCGCCTTCGTGTCCAGGCATGATGACTGCCCACTATCTCCAAGTGAAGGGACAGGCAATTCGGGCGTAGACATCGACGCACTCTTCGCCATGTCTCCCATGGTGCCGTCCCTGATCATAGATGCACCCGGCACTGATGCACCACATCAAGCATCCACATCGACGAATTGTTCATATGACCAGTGTCTCGACAGCGCCGCCATTAACACTGGCACGGAGCCCTGCAATGCCAGCTACTGGGACGAGTTTCTCAATTTGCCCGAGGTTGGCGACTAAATCTCTTTCATAAATTTCCAAAGGTTAGACTTTCTGGCATAAACGGAACACGATATCTTAATCTGAAAAGATGCGAATAGCTTTATGTTTCACTGAGCTACCTCTTAAAGGATCATTTTCTGAATATAGTCTTCCGTCTTGAAAACCTTGGTTCGATTCTTTTCTAATGAGCCCAATATTTCCCCCAGTTCCTATTGAGACCATTCAGGAGATCGACTCAGCTGCTAGACGCTGATTATCCAGCGACAGCTTTGCAACTTGCCGCTCGTTTCAATGACTCCTGCGGCCTGTATCGGCTTAGCTTGTGAATAAACAGACGAGTATAACATTCTCGAGTTGACCTGACAGAGCCGAAAATGGCTATCGAATCCGAGGCGGCAGGTCCGGGAGGAACGAACGTGATCGAGGGCCTAAAGGGGTCTCACGCTCTGAGCAAATCCATGTTCATCGGATATAAGTTACTCAACCTCGGCTCTCAAGCTGCACACTGAATCTTCTACACCCGCTATACAACTATGCTCTTACGCTGGAAACGCCTGCTAAAGTGGCAGAAGCAGAACAAGTATATCCAGTCTAGCTATAGAAAACCCTCTTACTCCTACTATGGGTCGATAAGGGACCTGACCAGATGGCACAACGAGACCGTCAATATCTGTTCACATCTGTTGGCAGCCATCGTCTTCTTAAGATTTCTCATCCGCTTCCTTACCCAATCCGGAGCTCTGACTCTGGATGTGGTGGCAGTCGTCACATTCTTCCTCGGGGTCATTGTCTACTTCACCCTGTCATTCGTTCATCACCTCCTCTCCAATCACAGTCGAAAAATCATGATTTTGACACAGCAACTGGACCACTTCGGCATAATCATCTTCCTCTGGAGCACCGTTGTTTCCTTTCTCTACTTCGCCTTCTATTGCGACTTCCACTTACAGGTATACTACATCGGTGTTATGACGACAGCCGCCCTGATCGCGACGTTGTGTGTCTCTCGACCAATATTCAGACATCCCGAAAGCCATCACATGCGCACATTAACCTTCTTCGCCCTCGGGCTCTCGGCAACCTTACCGACGATGTCGCTTGTTGTTCGCTCCTGGGAGAGGAGTTACTGTCATCCTGTGCTCTTGGCCTCCTACAGGAACCTGATCATCCTGAATGCTGTTGGAGGCTTTTTCTACTGCATGCGAATTCCAGAAAGGCTCTGCCGGGATGCTTTCGATATCATAGGCTCTAGCCACCAGGTCATGCACATAATGGTCGTGGTGGGGACACTGCTCTATCGAACAGGACTGCTCTCTGCCAGGCGAGCATGGCAAGGAGAGAGTGCCACCGGATTATCTTGTCCCACGGGGTGATAATCTAGGGTTTCTAATGGACGTAGCGGACTCTGTTTCTGGCAAGTAACAGTCTGGTCCAGGCAAACGTGGCTTTCAGTCGTCGATTACATTGGGTACCATGATTGGACGGTAACACTGCCTCTTGTCTCAGAGATCGGGTGCCAAAGGCATCCTATGGCTGTCCGTCAAGCTTAGGGGACGGCGGGGAAGGTAGCTGCAGTCAAGCGCCCATGTCTTCCAAGCTTATCAAAGACCTCCTAGTCGAACAAATCTCGGTCTGATAAGGCTTTGAGTGACTGGCAGCCAATGAGAAGCCTCCTCCCGCGGAGCCTCGTGCTTTTTCGGTGCCCCTATTTCCTTGCCCAGTTTTCCAACCACTTTTCAGACGACTCCATAGCCACTTTGTACCACAGTGCAACCATTGCACCTGTATCGCAAGAGCCTCTACGGGTTCTTTTGTTCTCTCAATCTATCCTACTCTTATTGAACTGCATACTGTATCTTGTTCAACACAATTTGTCTCAAGACACTGTCCACAGAGAAGGACTCGCTAGTCACTTTCTACTGCGTTGATTTTGAGCTGGAACCCCGCTTTTCCATTACCTTCTTTGAAATCAATGGCAATATGCTTCGTAGTGACCATCCTCCTTAATCATGGGCATACCTCACTAGAACCCACCACTATTCTTAGGATCAGCTGAGGCTGTGAGAGATGTGAGACAAGAATAGCATCTAGGGAGCTAGAATTGGTCCCTTCAGAACAAAGGATCGCATTTGTCCAACCCGGCACGAGTTGATTTATATTTCATGAAGCCCGGAAGCTGGGAGAATGTGATTAATCTCTACAGCTCAAACAAATTACAATTATCGACGTTGAAGAGTGGTCATGCCGTCATTCTCGTGTTCCGCAATTTTCTGTTTCTTCCTGTCCATCTTGACTAGAATGACGACCACAGCAGCCGCACCACTCTGTTCGGACACCGTTCGCACGGCTGGAGGCGGGATTCCGGACGGCAATGATCATCCTACATTGTCAGCGGAAGCGGTAAAAGAATTCCAACTGGCGCTCTTTCTCGAGAACTTGGAAGCATTCTATTTTCAGAGCGGACTTCAAAATATCTCTACCTGGGGAATGACGGGCTACCCAAATGATACGATCGAAGTGCTTAGCAAGATTGTGGCAGTAAGCAGACTATCCTGGTTCCCTGTCGGTCTAACATTTTGCGCTTTCTTCAGCAGGAGGAAGTACACGTCGCAACGATCACGGACCTGCTCAATGGCTATGGTGCCACTGTAATTGCTCCTTGCCAGTATTCCTTCCCGGTGTCGACCATGGATGAGTTCATCGCCCTTAGTGACATCATAACCTCAGTGGGCATCAGCGCTCTCATCGGACTGATCGATCGAGTCTCGTATGCTGATCCTTCTATTGTCAATACGGTGTTGTCAACAGTGACGGTCGAGTCCCGTCATGACGCGTTCTTCCGCCATGTGCGCGGCAGAGTCCCTGACCCAGCTCCCTTTGACACCGGGATTAGCAACATCTGGGCGTACAATTTGGCTCTTCCATTTATCGTGCCGGGGTCATGTCCAACGGAGATCCAGCTACCTATTCTACCCAGGTTGACGGTGTCAACACCGACTGCGGCTGACAACAGATCGTCAGTGGCCACGGGAATAGCGAAGAGCATCGCGCCATATCAAAATACCTCCGCGAGCCCGGCTACGGTAACGAACACTACCGCGGTTCCGTCAGAAATGGCGTTCACATGGGATCCCATGCAGATGCCATTCGTATTCGAGCAGGGAAAACAATTGTTTGTTGGCTGGACCAATCAGCTGAATGTGCCAGTGTATACGGTATTATCCATCGTTGGGCCAGGCAGGGGAGTTGCGGATGTACCGCAAGGACTCAATGGGGCGGTGTTTGCAGCGGTCACAAGTCAATTGCCTGATAATGACTATGACCTGGCCCTCGCAACCATGGCGGGCCCGGTTGCGTTATCACTCTCTTAGCTTTGTGTTGAACAATTGTGTTGTAGTACTGTATGTTGCTCCTGTGAGTTTCTGTGCACTGAAGCATCTCCGTTCGGAACGCCGTCCATTTAGCACATCGGAAGAGAAAGTGTTCGACCGTCTCTCTCGCTTGCCTGCATACGTACCGATCTGTTAGAGCCGCATCAATGCAATGAAGATAACTATTTAGTCTCGCTATTCCTGTTCTGAGTTGGGTAAGCACGTTCATCTTTTCCCATGAAAGACGATCATATGGTCGCCTTGTGTGCTTACCTAGTAATGCCGTGTTAACTCTCTTTGAATGCGTTCCGACCTTATCTGGTAGGCTTCTAATGATACCTCACTTAGCTCGGGCGGCGTTAAGCATGGTTAACCTTATCCCTAACTATTATTTCGTTAGTCAGGCCCTTAAATCGGTGGCCTTTTGTGCTTTCTCCTTAGCGATCTTCTCCATTTATTATTATACTCTAGGGTTTATATAATTATCACTATATTACTCTCTCTTTATAAATATCTAATAACATTATAAATGCGATTGATATATTCTTATCTTAACTACTAGTATAATTACCTTAGTGAGAGAACTACAGCCTTATTACTACTCAGTAGAACGAGTCTACGAAACTGAAGTTGTGTGTAACGAGCTTAGGGCTTGCGCCATCGTCGCGAGTTTTCCGCAGTACGGATCCTGTTGTGATCAGGTGCCGATCATAGTGTAAAAGGTCTTGCGCTTTGGCTTGCTACGTGCTAACATAGCCAGCTGAGTGGCTCCGCCAATTCCCACCAAGCCGTCCCGTGCCGAGCAATTGACCGCAAGGTGCACTGCCGTGTCTACCACAACGGCCTTTTCCGTCGTGGTTTCGTCGACGACGGTCTGTATTCGCTTCTCCCAGGGGGCCAGTGTAAACGGATTGATGGTCTCGAGCTCTTCCATCGGTAAGTCTTTAAGTACAGCCAAATGCGAATTCGGTGTCCTGAAGATGCGCATAGAGTCTTTAGAAGGATGGACAGTGATGCTCCAGTGTGGAGTATACTTGCAACAGAATAGGAACAGATGAAACCTCTCAGCCCTGCCAATAGATCTCCTGAAATAGTCGAGCTGTATGATTCTATACATACAGTACGCATAGCAACCCTGCTGGTGCCATTGCAATACCGCCAGTTCTCTCATCGTCCGTGTAGAATAAACTCGAACTCGTGCATCCCAGCCTGCAGTCGCAAATATCTTGCCGTCGGAGCGACTGCTGAGACCCTGCTGACCAGCATGTTTTGTCTTGATAGAACTGCTAGAGTCGGTCTGATGCTCTATGATTGCTGTCATTTGAATCACTGTCTAACCTAGTCTGCGAGTTGTCCACGAAGGTGCTGCCAAGAGTTACACGACGCTGAGATTCGAACATAGATCGTCTCCAGTAAGTTATTAAAATATTGTCCTGAGCAAGCCATGTTCAGTGCAAAGCACCTACTGACCTTCCTTTGCGATACTATCTGCCCGGGCAACCTCACTGATCCCTTTCATCATGCGCTCAATGTGTGAGATAACCGTCTTATATCCTAGCGAGTCCATACTGTCAAATTTGCAAGTGTTCTTCAAGCTGATAATCGGTATTGACAAATCGATTGTCTCGAAATTGTCGTTTACACTCAAAGCCCCCATATCTGCCAATTTTTTCCGTGCACGGCTCGTATACTTGGAGGCGTTATTATGCGTTTCAAAGAAAACAAGACCAATCCTGCTTAAAGCATTAGTGTTGAAAGGATGCGGTTGGGGACAGAGCCTAACGTTGAGTTAAGAATAGCTGAGAAATAATCAGCCATTCTGCTCTTGATGAGTGCCTATAATCGTTTACGTTGTTATGATAGCTTCTTATGTTCTTAACGAGCTGGACTAACCTGTTTCACAATTAGGCCTCCAAACCCGTGACAGATGAAAACCATCGGTCGAGTCGGACATTCCTGCGTTTATTTCTCAGTATTTTGACCTTAGCCCTCGTTAGCATACTTACGGTTCGCTCAATCTCCAAGCACAAGAGAAAGTTGTCAGCGTGTGTGGAGACCTTGTTGGCGGATATCGAGTTGTAGCCGTAGATTAATACTCGTATGTTATCATCTAGACTCTTAGGTAGAAACTCTTGAGGCCAGAAGTGTTCATTCCCAGTCCAAGTCGCTTGCGCGTGCTCGCTGTTGTTTCTGGGATCTAAGTCGTGTATGAAGACGAAACTTTGAAGTCTTTCAGCTAGAACGTCTTGGAGGGCTAGCGTGCATACTCTACCACAACGTTATCTGGAGATATCTTTGACTCTGGCCATACTGTATTCAGGAAGTTGAGCCTATGCGATACCTAAGTAATAAGTCGTTAGGGCCTTCTGGAAAAAACCTGGCGAAGATCTTGAAGACACGGCGTCGTTTACATGCGATAAGTTTGGAGAGCTTTCCGCGCCAATCGATACGAAGGGTTTCTCTGAAATGCGAACGGCACAAGAAGATAGGGATGCTGACTTACATCATATTGCTGAACTCCCGTCATCGTGTACTGTATGTATTGATAAATTAGGTGAGTAAGACTGCCATTGCTTGTCACTGTGAATTACGTGGCAATATAAAAGTCCCGAATCCATAGAACCTTCTCGAACCGAGCACTAACGTCTCTTAATCACGTGATCATGTATCTAAGGGCCTACAGTAGATTAGACAGTACAGTATATTGTAGAATCTCGTGTTACTAGTGTAGTGCTTGGTTAGAACCTGTAGAAGTATATATCTTAATCTTCTCTGACACTCTATTTAGAGTCATGAGATGGAATCCAGGTGCCACCAAACCTCGCGAAGACCAACTTTTAATCTATGCTCATCTTACTTCGTATCGAGTTTCCACCTTACTGTTACAAGTCGGCCTGACCGCAGGCAGCATACGAACCCGTGACGACGGGATGGTACAAGGAAGGATAGCCGAGTCAGCCTCGCAAGATGCGAAGCCTGACACGTAACTTCCAGGAAAGGAAGTGGTGATTATTGTCGGAGGACTTGTCCTTCTCTAAGGGGTCCAAGGGGACGTCAGACTATATAGGTTTCGAAGGGTGTACCGGATCATACCGGGGCACTTCGTAATAATACAATCACGTGGCCAGAGGCCTTCGAAGCGTGTCGAGGCGATACGCTTCGACGCAGTCTTTACAAGTCTTGGCACGCAAAATGTCACAAAGTGGTCGATATGCTGATGTGGTGGGATGGTTGGTGGTTGCGCCACAACACCTCAACACCACTGCAGCACAACAATCACGGGATATATATACACGGTCGTCACATAGCCTTACCACGTAGTCAACTTCGTTCACGATCATACCCATACGTTTTGGTTGTGATTATTTCGCTTCTAGTATATCAGTACGCTCAGTATACTATACGCTCTCCGAGACATTGTCCCTCCTATACTTCCCACTTGCCAAGAAACCCTACGTGTTGTAACGCCCTAGGTGGAGCGAAAACGTAGCAATTACGCCCGACCTCGCGGGCTATGCCTGGTCGAGTTTCGGATCAGCCATCACAGATCTTCTTCGTTTTTCGCTGAAGAAGACAGGCCACGGGTATCAGAAATACTTGGTGGCATTCTGCAGTATCATTGATAAAAACAGTAGACATTTAAGAACGTCCGGTAATTTTTTTAAATCTATATGAACCCTCGTCTGGTCCTGGGTGGAAGCAATCCAGGGGACCATATCTATGATTCCGGTGGCTTGCTTCGTTAGTGATGCAAGTCTTGCCAAGTTCGGTTGGTGTTGATGCCATCTTCTGGAGCTGCTGAAATCTAGTATATTGGCAGTTTTCGGCTCCGTGCAACATGCTGGATGAGATGGTATCAACCCTTGAATGCGTTTGCCTGCTGGGTCTCAATCTTGCTGCGAGAATAGTAATAGGAACTTCAGGATACTCACTCAGGTCAGCGCTGAATGGTTTAGGTCGACGACGAGGACGAGAATACTCACAAGGAGCTCAAGTCCACTCAGAAGTATCTAACTCGAAAAGGTGCTTAGCTCTCTAGAGGGTCCAAGTGATCCAGGTGGTTTGGCAATATTATCTGACGACTTTCGCCATCTTGACAAGCTCCGGGCCATTACTATACGAATCAGACTAGTGGATCCATCCGCTTTCCACTAATCAGCTTCGGGAATATCAAGGCGCACATTTTTGAGACGCTTCACGAATCGTTAAAGAGCGCGGCAAAGCAATGACTCACTAAGTAAGGCATGAAAATTGAAAATTGACTCTATTAAAGCAAGTTGTGGAAGGGGACCCACAATGGAAGCCATCACCTTTTTCGTATCAACTTGGGGCGACCGTTGTTCCCTTATATTTAGACCCAACTAGCTGCACTGCCATTCTTTATTGGGCAATCGCAAAGTGGTGGTCACTGGGGTTACAGACGCGAGTTACTTGGGTACTTAAATATCCTGCCCGCTGGCCCTTCCATGGAACATTTCGGATGATCAGAAAGAAGCCACAACTCACACGCCAGACGACATTGCACTTGAGAAAAAGTTAACGAAAGCGGTCGTAAGAGGAGGTACCGCGAGAAAAAAGAGTTCGGCGCAATTACAAAAAGCCATACGTTGCACACACTATGAATCTATCCGTGGCCCGCCACATAATCTATCTAAAAGCTAAAGAGGCCTACACATACAGATCATTTGGTCACGGACCATGGCAACCAGTTATCAAAAACAATGTATGTCTTTCCCAAGTGATATCATACCTCACGCTAAAATGGCCATGCATTTGAAAGGCTGTTGCAGAGGATAGTTTTCCTGAATGGTCTAAACGACGAAAAAGCAAGAGAAGATGGGGACAAAGCTTGTGAAGAAGCAGAACTGTCTC